TTACACTACACTCCTCTACACTACACTACATTACACTACACTACACTACCTTCCACTACACTTCACTACATTACACTACACTGCACTCCACTACACAACAATTACAACTACAAATACACAACTACACTCCACTACACTAAATTACACTAGACTACATTACACTACACTACACTCCACTACACTACATTACACTACACTACACTACACTACCTTCCACTACACTTCACTACATTACACTACGCTACACTCCACTACACTACAACTACAACCACAACTACAACTACAACTACACAACTACACTCCACTACACTCCACTACACTCCACTACACTAAATTACACTACACTACACTACACTACATTCCACTACAATCCACTACACTACACCACATTACACTACACTACATTACACTGAATGACACTGCACCACAGATAGACAGGTAGACAGATAGACAGATAGATAGATAGATAGACAGGTAGACAGCTAGACAGATAGACAGATGAAAGAGGGAGAGAGAGAGAGATAGACAGACAGACAGACAGACAGACAGACAGACAGATAGATAGATAGATAGGTAATTAGATGGAAGAGAGAGAGAGAGAGATAGATCGATAGATAAATAGATACATAGATATATTTCGGACTGGTGACTTAGGACTTAGGCCACCATAGTGACATAGGATTTTGTGCACCAAGTCCTAAGTCACTGGTGTTCTTACCAGGTGATTTGTGTGCACCAAGTCCTAAGTCACTGGGGTTGTGATTGGATTCAAGCACTTTTTAAGTTAAAAATAAAAAATAAAATCTTCTCTTAATAAGTCATCAGAATCTACATACTTACATTACATTACAGTACAGTACATTACATCACTACAATACAGTAAAGTACAGTACATTACATTACACTACAGTACATTAAATTACATTACAGCACATTACAGTACATTATATTACATACATGCACAGGACTTGGTGCACAAAATCGTATGTCACTAGAGGGGCACAAATCCTAAGTCATCAGAACCTACATACTTACAGAACATTACAGTACAGTACAGTACATTACACTACAGTACATTACATTACCTTACAGTAAAGTACAGGACATTACATCACACTACGGTACATTACATTACAGTAAAGTGCAGTACATTACATTACACTACAGTACAATACATTACATTACAGTACATTACAGTACATACATGCATAGGGTTTGGTGCACAAAATCGTATGTCACCAGAGGGGCACAAGTCCTAAGTCATCAGAACCTACATACTTACAGTACATTACAGTACATGACATTACATTACACTACACTGCGTTACATTACATTACAGTACAGTACATTACACTACATCCATGCGTAGGACTTGGTGCACAAAATCGTATGTCACCAAAGGGGCACAAGTCCTAAGTCATCAGGACCTACATACGTACAGTACATTTCAGTACAGTATATACAGTACATTACACTACAGTACATTACATTACATTACAGTACATTACAGTACATACATGCATAGGGCTTGGTGCACAAAATCGTATGTCACCAGAGGGGCACAAGTCCTAAGTCATCAGAACCTACATACTTACAGTACATTACATTACATCACACTACACTGCATTACATTACATTACACTACATCCATGCGTAGGACTTGGTGCACAAAATCGTATGTCACCAAAGGGGCACAAGTCCTAAGTCATCAGGACCTACATACTTACAGTACATTTCAGTACCGTATATACAGTACATTACACTACAGTACATTACATTACATTACAGTAAAGTGCAGTACATTACATTACACTACAGTACATTACATTACAGTACAGTACGTTACAGTACATACATGCAAAGGACTTGGAAATCGTCTGTCACCAGAGGGGCACAAGTCCTAAGTCATCAGAACGTACATACATATATTACATTACATTACAATACAATACATTACATCCCAATACATTGAATTTTTTCAATATTTTTATTTAATTGCTTTAAAATACTGTCTGTATATAAATCGAAGGAACAAATGGAAAATCACATATTTTTTTTGAAATATTTTTTTGGAAGATGGGCACAAATCCTAAGTCATTATTTTTTCAACGATTGGCTCGAGGACTTCGACCCAAAAACGGGGTAGTGCAACGGGGAATAGAATAGGGAAGCACAATGGGGAAACAAAACGGGAAACAACAGAGAAAAATGAAAAGTGGAAAAACATATATTTATATTTTTCAATTTATTTATTTGCTTTAAAATACTGTCTGTATATAAATCGAAGGAAATATGGAAAATCACAGATTTTTGTGAAATATTTTTTTTTTGGAGATGGGCACAAGTCCTAAGTCATCATTTTTTCAACGATTGGCTCGAGGACTTCGACCCAAAAACGGGGTAGCGCAACGGGGACCACAATAGAAGTGGGAAACCTCTATGAAATGACCTCTCCGTCATCTCTATGAAATGCTTCGTAAAGCATCTTGGGGCACAATCAAGGTTTTTTTTTTTCCACTTTTCATTTTTCTCTGTTGTTTCCCGTTTTGTTTCCCCGTTGTGCTTCCCTATTGTATTCCCCGTTGCACTACCCCGTCGTTGGGTCGAAGTCCTCGAGCCAATCGTTGAAAAAATGATGACTTAGGACTTGTGCCCATCTTCAAAAAAAACACAAAAATCTGTGATTTTCCATTTTTTCCTTCGATTTATATACAAACAGTAGTTTAAAGCAATTAAATAAATTGAAAACTATAAATATATTTTTTTCACTTTTCATGTTTCTCTGTTGTTTCCCGTTTTGTTTCCCCGTTGTGCTTTCTTATTGTATTCCCCGTTGCACTACCCCGTTTTTGGGTCGAAGTCCTCGAACCAATCGTTGAAAAAATGATGACTTAGGATTTGTGCCCATCTTCAAAAAAAAATATTTCACCAAAATATGTGATTTTCCATTTTTTCCTTCGATTTATATACAGACAGTATTTTAAAGCAAATAAATAAATTGAAAAATATAAATATATGTTTTTCCACTTTTCATTTTTCTCTGTTGTTTCCCGTTTTGTTTCCCCATTGTGCTTCCCTATTGTGGACCCCGTTGCACTACTCCGTCGTTGGGTCGAAGTCCTCGAGCCAATCGTTGAAAAAATGATGACTTAGGACTTGTGCCCATCTTAAAAATATTTCAAAAAAAATCTGTGATTTTATTTTTTTCAGATAGATATGCACACATTTTAACTTGTCACTATGTTACACAAGCTGCTTTTTCTAGTTTTCACACTGTAAAGGTGACATTTCTCATTTTGCATCATTTCCCCGTTATTGGCCTCCCGTTGTGTCTCCTCGTTGTAACACCCCGTTGTGCCTCCCCGGGGCGGTGATCCCAATGCAACGAGTCGTTTTCGCTTTAATGCGCGCGCGCGTTGGCGGAAATGCAGGCTCGAGGACTTCGATCCAACGACGGGGTAGTGCAACGGGGAATACAATAGGAAAGCACAACGGGGAAACAAAACGGGAAACAACAGAGAAACATGAAAAGTGAAAAAAAAATATTTATAGTTTTCAATTTATTTAATTGCTTTAAACTACTGTTTGTATATAAATCGAAGGAAAAAATGGAAAATCACAGATTTTTGTGTTTTTTTTGAAGATGGGCACAAGTCCTAAGTCATCATTTTTTCAACGATTGGCTCGAGGACTTCGACCCAACGACGGGGTAGTGCAACGGGGAATACAATAGGGAAGCACAACGGGGAAACAAAACGGGAAACAACAGAGAAAAATGAAAAGTGGAAAAAAAAAAAACCTTGATTGTGCCCCAAGATGCTTTACGAAGCATTTCATAGAGATGACGGAGAGGTCATTTCATAGAGGTTTCCCACTTCTTGTTGTGTTTCCCTATTGTGGTCCACGTTGCACTACGAGCGTGATGACTTAGGATCATCTTAATATATTTCTGCTAGTTCATTCCTATGTCATCATGGTTTTACGAGTGGTCCATGCCGCACTAAAAAAAATCAAACATAGTTTCTAATCTCATCGGACACCTGATGAGTTGGGACTTGTCCAAGGGGGGTCCGACGCATGATGAGATAGGACTTGGCCACACCGGGGTATCTTTCACAAGTCCTAAGTCACTCGCTTGAAATATAGATAGATAGATAGCTAGCTAGCTAGCTAGCTAGCTAGGTAGGTAGGTAGGTAGATAGTCAGAGAAAGAGAGAGAAAGAGAGGAGACCTCAAGCACCTTTTGGTCCATCAGTGGCTTCGCTCTGCCATCCCTGATTCACAACAACCAACCTCTCCTATAGGTTTCCTATTTTTGAAACTTCCGCCACCGCCTTGTGCGGTACTACTGGTAATATTCATCACAGAATATTGGGAACCCACCCTGGCTGTTAGTAATCCAGGGTTGACGTTTAGAAAAATAGAGTTTGGTCAGGTCTAAGTTAAGTAGTAAACTATCCAAGTTCATCCAATTTCAAGACGCCCATGTCGATCCTGTTCGCCGTTTTTCCTTGCTTTCACCTTGCTTTCATCTTTGAAGGGACTTGGCCACTAGTGTATACGAGCAGAAGGTGATGTTTGACCAAACCTCTGACCAAAGTGGACAAGAAAATGAGATAAATGAGGATGGATAAAGAAATACAGTACCAAAGGGCCCCACAAATTTGGTCAAGTGGGACAATGTATATTATCATCAAGGCAAGGCGGAAAAAATTGGACTTTGAACCACCACCAAATGCAAATTGATGTCCAAATGAAAATGATGGTGTCCATCTGCACCTCGCTTTGGATACTCTGCAGATCCTGTCCTACAGGCCTTGGAGAGAAACACTCCAGAAACCCAGATTCTGCACTGGACCTCTTGGTTTGCACAACAATAAGATGTCCCCTGCAAGAACAATGCAATGTTTGCAATGGCATATCATCATTGTCACTCTCGACACTTTCAAAATTGCCATTGCGGGGACCATTCAGGCACCCTGAACTCCTGAGGGCCTCGCCAAGAGCTTCCCACTGGGAAAATCCCTCCGATGTTGCTGCACCTGTGAACGTCTGGAATGATCTGTGCCGAAGCAGTGCAATTGGCGATCAAACATAATTGGAATTCATCAACGAGAATGAGGTACAGTCAGTATGTAAAGCCAACAAAAATTGAATGCGTTTGATTATATGGTTTGTAGCACAACGAAACCAATAACCAAGGAAGATTGGTTCAAATACGGCCATGGAATTGAAAACTTGTGTGACAAAAATGGGACATCAATCTCACCCATATATTTGCAACAGAAAACAAAAATTCTCCACCTGCCCAACCTTAGATTCTACACCTTCATCAGAGGTTAGTTCTCGGAAGTTGCCACTGATACCAGCTCTCTCGAGTCCAAAACTCTTCACCCTGCACCGTCTCAATGACTGGTTGCAAAAAAAAATGCAGTTGCGTTCATCCCCGACCGATGTACCAACAGGCAGCCCCCAACGATATCAAATCCCAACCCCCGCCGCAAAGTCAAAGAAGGCGAAGGGCGGAGAGGTCAGAAAGGCGTGGTCTCCCCGCAAATCAAAGATCTGCCAGCACTGCCATCAGTTCCGTCGTTTGTTCAATATCCATGTCAGGCTAGGGCTGTTGCTTTCAAACTATCTCGAAGACATAAATCCCTGGGTAGACTAGTAGACTGCCAATAAACTATAACAGGAATTGAAAAGCAAAAGAGGCAGGAATCATCAAAGCACCCAATGTTGAAAACTCTCAAGCAAGGATACATGCGGACGGCAAATTCGATCATCATATCTTGGTGTTTCTTCAGCTCCTTAGACACTTGGCAACCAAAACGGTGGACCACGGTCCAGCTGGACATTTCCGGCACCTGTTTTCTCCGATAGGGTCGGAAGTACATCACCAAATCTTCATTGCCGGGCATGATGACTTCAGTTTTCATCTGGGGCATGTCCACTTGGAAGGCCTTGCCGGCTCCAGGCTGGGGAGCAGAACTTGTTGGATGAAATCGGGGCCCGAATTGGGTCACCCAAACTTGGATGGGTATGTTCATGGTTCAATACCTACATCCATGAAGCATACCCGAAGGCAGATATCCAACGCACATCTTCCCGTTTTTTTCCCGTAAAAGAGTGACGCATTTTCAATGTATATAATGTCATGTAATTTCAGCGACCAAACCTTCAAATGAATTCAAATGAGATATCATGTCATGTTCATGTCATGTAGGCAGCCTCATTTTCACATGATCAGACCTAAAGCCCTGTCATATAAATCATGTAACCAACCGCACCTTCGGGTGTGATGAGGTCATGTTGGTTGCAACATTTTCGAACACAATGTCATGCCACGGAGATGACAACATCTTAAAGCGTAATATCACGTCACCCAGACCGCATCAATTTCTATCGAAATTGAAGTACCAAATTCGAACCTCGCCCCCACAGCAAAAAAAAGTACAAATTTGATTTGTTTTAATGTCGCAAGGAAAGTCACAAGAAAAATCATCAACGCCAAACACGAAACAAATCACATTAATGTAGGTTGTCAAGCAAGGAAGTAAAGTCGAACGCAAAAGAAAATTGAGTAGCACATTTTGAACAAACAAACATGTTCTAAGTCATCTTGCAAAGTCGCCCATGTCAAACAAACATATTCCAAGGCAATGTCAAGACATGTGACAAGCAAGTCACATCTTCGAGGTTGTGTAGCCTATCTCATGTCATGCCAGGCAAGGCGGCCTTCATCTTACTACGACGCTTGGTGGCTTAGTTTCGACAACGGGTCGCCCGCTACCACGACAAAAGTGGATGTTATCACGACGGACTAACATCTCCAAAGGATATACCTTTGTTTCTACAAAAGGGTACCTGTGTTTACTTTGTTGATATTACCCCGATGGACTAGCATCTCCAAAGGACATTCCTTCGTTTCTACAAAGAGCTACCTTTGTTTACTTTGTTTCTCCTCTCCACCTGGTTCCGGACAACCGAAGGGGCGCCTTTGCATCTATATATAAAGGGCGCGCCTTTGTAAATGTAACTGCCTTTGTTTCTCTTCTTCAGCTAGCTCCGGCCAAACAAAGGGCCGCCTTTGTTTCTCTCTTGTAGAAACCATGGCAAGCCTTCTTAGCAGTAGCATGGATTCAAAAAGACGTGCACGCTGCGCGCTGTGCCTGGCAATTTGTTTGCGTGTTCTAGATGGATTTGACATCAAAACGGTTGTGTAAATCCTTCTTTTGTGAAAAATCAACCAACGGATGTCACAGATGTGCTTATGAAAATTTTGCCATAACATGAAAAGCTTTGAGCTCCAAGGTTGACGACACAGCTGACTTGCAGAAAGAGGATCTGCACAAAAAAAACATCCCAAAAACATCCAAAAACAAGCGACTCTTCACTGCGCTGTCCGCATATGACTTGTAGTTGCTATCTACAAAGTTGCCAAAGCTGGCACATGTTCTGCACTGGGAAAACGTTGGAACCAACATGTCTGTCTCAATTCGCTAGCCGCTAGCAAAACCATGTTTCAAAGTTTGAAACAAAGGATCTGTGCGTTATCTAATTTCAAGAGTAATGTTCTGCGGAAGGGTACGGTCCTCAAAAAATGATGGTACGGTGAAGGGTGCGGTAGGTTGGGTACGGCGGTACGGTACGGTGGGTACGGTGGTGAGGTACGGTGGGTACGGTGGTACGGTACATTGGGTTGGGTGGTACGGTACGGTGGGCACGGTACTACCTTCAAAATTGTTTGCTATAGCAAGCAAATTGCTTACTATAGCGAACAACTTGCTATAGCGAGCAACTTGTTTGCTACAGCAAGCAATTTTGGGGGTACGGTACGGTGGGCACGGTGGGTACGGTACGGTGGGTACCATGAGAACGGTACGGTAGGTACAGTAGGTACCCACCGTACCGTACCACTGCCAAGAGACCGTACCAGCGTACCAAGACTCCGTACCCACCGTGCCGTACCCATAAAAACTGTAATCCGTACCTACCCGTGCTGGACCTTCAGAAAACAGGTTTTTCATTGCTCTTGAAATTAGATAATCTGTGCGCGTGTCTTGAAACCATTTTCAAAACAAATCATTTTAACGCAGAATTTGCTATGTATATTTCTTCTTGAATAAGACGTTGGTACCTTTTTCGTTTTTACCGCGTGAGCCACGGGTCGAAATACCAGAAGAACGAAAATAGTTATCACTTCATGTCAATTATCACTGCTGTCCTCGTGCGCTTGTCATGCCGGAAGCAAGCTAGCGTCATCACTGGACACGGCCTGCTGTATCGGCGGAAAGCACCCTCATTTGTGACGAAATATGTTCGTTACCATTGGTGTTTTTCTTCGATTAAGATCTATAATCAAAAGTTGCGCAGGCTGGGTCAACCGTCCAGAATACAGCTTTGAAAGCATCAGGATTGAAATGTCGGCAATTCTATCTCTTCTGGCAGTCCTACGTAAGATATCAAAGGAACAAATTTTGTATAACAAATTAAAACCAGGATGTTGAGCTCCATAATTTGTCGAAGGAAGTTTAGAAGTCAAACCTCCGACAATATGGACAGATGGAAAGCAGAGGTGGGAAGAGCCAGAGAAGAGAAGAGAAGAGAAAGAGGCAGAAAAAAGAAGATGCCGCTGCTCGAGATCCACCGCGGTGTGTCTGTGACCGTGGTACAGGTCGCCTGAGCTCTTCGAAATTCACACGGCCATGCTGCAGACATGACACAGAGGAACCGAAGGCAGATCTCGCTTGATTGTGGTCAAAACACATGCGGCTTATGATTCTGTTACGGATTCTGACACGTATAAGATTTGCAGAGATGGATAAGACCAGGTGCTGGTGTTTGGTTTTTACTTTATATTTGAACTGTAAACGGTCATTGAACATCATTAAACCGGATCCATTTCACGACAAAGAAACGGCAAAGAAACGACAGGTGTTAGTTCCATCATGTTCCATCTATGCTCAGAAGGAAACCTAGTGACACTCTACAATACTGGGGACAAATACATGCCAGAAGAAATCATACCATCACATCCGCGAAGTACCTCAAGCGAAGCCCTGCACGGCTCTCGCCTGGACATCTTCGAAAATATTGTGTTGTACCCAGAGAATGCGCAGCGATTCCACCGTTGTCATCTGAACCGATTTCAGGAAGAATTCGGCAGTGTCGTTGTCTACATCCTGCGGAGTTCCTACCTTCATGATGTAGTGTGCTCTGCGGCGAATTCTGATTGGGCTCTCAACGTCTCATCGCGATGTCCTCTGAGTCTGACAACATCCAACTATCCGGGCCAAGAAGTCTAACGATAGAGATTGGTTTGGCCGGAACTAGCTAGAGAAGAGAAACAAGGCGGCCCTTTGCAGAAACAAAGGGATATCCTTTGGAGATACTATTCCGTCGTGGTAACATCCACTTCTGTCGTAGTAACAACCGCAAGCATCCAGATTAACAAACCTCTCCACATTTTCACACACAAATCGTGTCATGTAATCTATGTCGTGCTTTTGGAAAGCCCCCTTGGGCCTCAGCCAGCAGCGGGCGCCAGGACAAGGGTGGCTCCTTCCACTCACCAAGGTCCTGACCCCCCGGCTTGGTGGGCGGCATGGAACACCCGCAAAAATAATGAGTTGACCAACAAAAAAAATGTTGACCTCTGTTGACCCGCATTTTTTTATACAGCGAAAACATGCTTTAACCATAAATATAATGGGGGATTATATAACATAGAAAGCCCCGCATTCGGGCCCCAAAGATGAAAAGATCCAATTGCCGGGTATTCAATTTGAGGGGGAAAGAATTGCTGTTGATTACAGTATTGTTGCGATGTGATGCTATTTTGCCGTTATGCTCCAACTTTTCGGACATGGTTGCTGTCTGAAGCACCCATCAAAAGGAGAAATCAGGAAGGGATGAACATGTGTAAAAACAAATGTGAGGACCGTTCGGACCGTTCGGAGTTAGGCATCCTTTTCTTATTTTTCTCGTTTCTATTTGTTTCTAATTGTTTCTATATGGCTTGCTCTGTACTTCAGGCACCCTGCCGCCCCTGCCTGATGAAATCCACCGGCGCCGGGGTCCATGACACGTTTCTGCCAGCTGGACGAATAAGGCAGCAAGATGCAGCAAGGGGGTTGTTATCTCAGCCACCAATTTCTTCATTTTTTGATGGAAATAGAAAGCGAGTCACAACATATGCATTTTTCCTGCAGCCACAATGGTTAAATACTCAATTTCTCATGGGTAGAAGTGGCCGGTAATCAGAAGTGTCTGTAGACAAGATTAGGATCCCACATCTCCCTACACCAGTTTCACGAGATTTTGTTAAGGAGGGGTTCCCGCCCAAAAGTACGCCTCTTGCTGGGCGCCGTTGGTAACGCATCCAAGCGTGCAAACCCTATATCAAAGTTGAACACAAAACAGACGATCGGTTTCAAGGTTTGAAGTTCTGACATATGCTAATTTCGGGTGTAGATACATTCATAAACATCCATGTGTGTGTGTGTGTTCTTGTTGCCATGTTTCCTGGGTATCAGGCTAGAAAGCAGGAAGAACTTTGACGACCGCTCTCCCAGAATGGCAACAATAGAGGGACTGGTTTGTGGGCTGCAATTGACTATCATTTACTTCTTGGATGTGAAACCTTTTCATCAACCAACCAATTCCAAAGGTTTATCAATGTTTCTAACCCGTTTTGAGCCCATTACAGTACTTTACTTCGTCCGAACCCCCACATAGCAACAACTGTCAGACAATATGATGACACTTCCGCATCTTGACATTTCTTCTGACGCTGGTTCTGAAATATGTTGGAGCTTATAGACTCTGACATGTAGTCTGACAAATCTTCTGACGTATTCTGACGTCTATCCTGATATCCTGACACATCCTGCCATAAATTCTGGCATTTCATCTGGCAAATGTCATGTGACATATTCGTGCATCTATCCTGACATTTATTCTAACATCTGCTCCGCCAAATTTTGTGACATATATTTAGTTCTGACATCACCTCTGACATATATTCTGACACCTATTCTGGCGCGTGACATAAAGTAAGTAGACATGCATTCGGACATGTATTCTAAGTGACGAGGTCCGGTGGGACACACAGACTCTGCGAGCTTGGTAAGGAGTCCAGGTCACACAAAAACTCCCCACTCCGGTTTGTTTGAAAATAGGGTAGGTTTAAAAAAAAAACGGTGGTTTGAGACCTTGTGTTCCCACCTAAAGATGGACATAGAGTGGGCTGTGCTAAGAATTTCAGACACCCATCCAGTCTTGATTGGGTTCTAACCTCCCATTGGCTGTCAGCTGCGACCTGTTTGCGGAGGAGCTCCAAACATCCGTAGCCCCTGCGAGGATTCGAGGATGCATAGTTGCAATTGTAGGATTTCTAGGGGGTTGATCGGATGGGGAAAAAATCAGTGGCTAAGAAAACGGAACACACAAAGGAGGTCTGCACTTCATTGCATCTCTCCTTGGGAAAGGGGTTCACTTTGGAAATTTCGGGCTTCATTTTGGTGAGTTGATGAGCCAACCCTTACAGAATCTCACCCATGGCCCTGGCCTATTGCACGCCTTACTCCTGGCTACAAAGTTGGGCATGCGAATTCCAGCCCCTTCTTACCCTTCTTAATTCTTGTGTGATAGAATCAAGTTCGCAGTGGATTTTGCACTGACCCAAGGTTTGACCACCATATCATACCCCATACTTGATGGTTCACATGTACTTATCTTTGCCTCCACCAAGTTTTGAGAAATACCAGAACTTGTTCAGGGTGAGAAGATTTCAAGTTGCTGGTGCAGCCAGCAAAATGTCGCATCCAGTTGCGGCCCTTGGAGCTCCTACAGTCTCCCAAGGTGTAACCAGGTTTTGAGAAGCTTGAAATCTTTAGCAAGTCGTCTGGATCAAATAGTTGGCTATATAGTAGGATGATGACCCAAGAAATCCGAATCAAACATATCTGGGTACACCTCAGGGGGGCAAAAATAGCATGACGCTTTACCACAAATGACCACAATCTGTGGCTTGCTGTAGCTTTGTACGCTCTACCAATTCTACTCGTCTCAAACAGAATAGAATCTAGAAATTGCATGAACCATGGCCCCAAATATCATGCCTCGGAAAATACCGTTGGGAGCTCCAAGTACTTCAATCGCTTCAGCGTTTCAGCCCCAGTGCTCCTGTCGTCCCAAAACTTCTCCTTGCGACGGGCATTTTCAACAAGGTTGTTCTCGAAATGGCTTGGGGCTGCAACTTTGGGAAGTCTATGTTTCAACTGCTCTTGCAACCCAGTGGGCTTTGTCCTTCGAGTTGTCCATTGGAGTGAATCTTTCTAAATGAGGATCAAGGAGTAAGACAGAACTGAAACCACCCACCAGTTCATTTTTTGTGAAAATGGAGCAAAAGTAGGCCCAACAGGTGTACCGATGTACCTGCAATTTTCAGGATGCAAAGCTGGATAAATGAAGGTCCCAACAGCGGCTCTGAGGCTATGGCTGATCCGCAACCAGGACACATCTCCTGAGGCATCCGCGGGATCAATCCCTCATTTAGTTCGATGATTTTCTCAGCCAAAAACGTCCATTGAGTTCTGGGAAATCCCAGCCGTGTTCGATTTCCGACGTGTAAATTTGTTGCTTCGAAAGTTCATTGAAAGGTCCTGTTTGGTGGATTTTGAACGTCACCTTTGGCTTGTTGGATATGGTTTTCATCATCATGGATATGTAATCTCCAACGGGGACATGTCACTTTCAAATTTTGTCAAAAACCTTTGAACGAAACTAAGAAAAACAAAACAAAAAACTTTCAATTTTGCATATATATATATATACATATATGTATATATATACATATATATATATACATATATACATATATATATATATACATATATGGTCCCGTCCTCCGTCTCTCCACACCACCCCCCCCAATGGGTTGGGTCCCCAGGTAGCACCCCCCTTCCCTTCTATTTGCAAGCTATTGGCAGCATTTCTGAGGTCCAGCTTCGTATTTGCTAGGTCTTTGCAGCATTTCTGTCTACCAGCCTCGCATGTACTAGGTTCATGCTACCTTTTAAGCGACCTACGTAGCACACATACTGCCTCAAAGTACCTACGTGCTACCTATAGTCATATACATGTGCTATGTATCTACCTCCTATTTACTACCTGTGTACTCTGACAACACTACATGTGTTTTAACATATACCGTGCCTACCATACATTCCAATGATGCCATGCATACCATACCTATCATACCTATCATACATACCACACATACCATACATACCACACATACCATACATATGAAACATAATTACCACACCTACCATGCATACAATACCAAACATACATGCCATACATACCATACCTACCTTACATAGGAAACATTCCAGACCCATCATAGTAACCATACATACCATACAGACCATACATACTGTCATATCAAACATACCATACCCAACAGGCTTACATACCATACCTACCATCCATACAATGCCAACCATTCATGCCATACATACCATACCTACCATACATACCAAACATACCATACTTTCCAAACATGCCATACCAGACCGACCATACACACCATACATACCCAACACCATACCACACCCCCACCACACCACAGGGGGGGGAAGGGGACAGTACCACACCCCACCACACCACAGGAGGGGGAGGGGGAAGATCTCATATGGAGGCAGTATATGGGACCCATCCCATTGGGGGAGGGGGGGTGGCAGGGCCTGGTGCATATGTATATATATATTATATATTATATATATTATATATATTATATATATTATATATATTATATATATTATATATATTATATATTATATATATATATATACATATGCATAATATTATGTGTATATTTTATATAATATATACATATATAAACGCATTTCGCCTTGAACTGACACTTTCAACCATTGGAAACGCAATTTGCCCCTGCAGTTTTGCCAGCACCGCCAACCCAGCGGACCTCCGCCGCTCTTTGAAGGCCAAGGCTGCTTCGCAGGCAGGGAAGCTGCAGGATTTGCCGCTTCCGACTGGGCCTTGCAGGGGCAGTTTGACATAGCCGCAGAAACCTGGAGGAAAACAGGAATTGGATGATTTATTGATGGAAAAATAGCTTTTAAATAATATGGTTATGATGATTTTAAAACAAGTCTCAGTATTATTCTTTTGATAAAGTGTCCAAGAAAAACAAACGGAATCTCTTGAAATCCCATTGGGTGATGAAAATGGTTGACCCAAAATGGACCCGAAACAGCCACAATTTACACAAATATGACCATAAAGTTGGATTCGCAAGAATAATCTACCCAAATAAATTGTGTTCTACCTCTTATGTATACCCCAACTTGATGATTCATAACACCCCCCAAATGGTTGATGATTGGAGATGTTTTGCTATACGTTACATCGTATTTGACATTACATCAAGTATACCTGATTGTACATATATATATATATATCCACATCAAATCCCCATTGCGGATTCTATCCTCCCAACTATCATGCTTATCCCAATAATCATCCCCGTAATCATGCCCTACCTATAGTTTGTTATTATATTGTGAATCCAATATTATATCATCGTTTCTGCTGGTTACAGTAAATCTCCATGAATTTACTTTTTGTTGTTGTTACATCCCAGATTCTGAAAACTATCCCAACTAAACAGTTTCAAGGATGTTGCAAATCGTTTTCAGGCCACTCCCGCATAGCACTCCCCTAAACCATATCCCCGTCAGTGGGTAACAATCGTAAATTGGTTAGTTACTAGTCACTTATTAACTTATCCCAATAGTACACTTATTGGCTAATTGACAGGTTAAAACTATTGACTATCCCATATAAATATATTGTATTATAGACAATATATATATATATTATTATATTATATTATATTATATTATATTATATTACATTATATTATATTATATATTATATATATATACCTCGACTTTCGATTCGTGGGATGGTCCCACAAGTATCCCCTTGCCATGGCACCTTGCCCATGGCGCCAGCGCGCCTGGTTAGCAGCACTGGATACTGAAGGCGCTGCGCCGCAACCAACGCCTTAGCCACGATGAAGAGCTCGTTGCCGAAGGCTCCTGGCAAAATCTGCTGCAATCCCCGCTTTTGAAGGGTAAAATGCCCGGCGTCGTGTGGGAAAACCAATTGTTTTTCACCGGAAAACCTGCAAGTCGTATGGGGCATCCATGTCTTTGGAAGGGAAAGTCATATTTTTGTCGGAGACTGCCAATCTGTTTGTGGGAAAATCCCAGTTTTAGTGGGAAATGTCCTGCTTCTGGTGGGAACATTTTCGAACTCAAACCAGCAAACCTGGGTTGACTGAACAAGACTTGGAATTTATCCTATGGTAATCCAAGCGTTTGTTGAAATCGTAAGCCTTTTGTCGGCGTATGTGTTCTTATCTCGTTTTTTTTGGTGATAGCATTCACACATGATAAACAGCGATCATCAATATGTTGTCTCTTCAAAATGGCATTTCACCATGCGTGACTGAACTACAACCGACGCCTCCTTTGCGCATCAGTCCATCAACAAGGCCGCAACAACGTCGAAACAAATTCTCCGGTCCTTCTGTCTCAATTGACAATAGCACCACCTTGAAATTCTGTCCTGCTTCTGAACAGCTGAGGGGGGTACATGACCTGCTTTGTGTTTATATACTCAAGTTCTGTTATATAATGAGGCATTCTCTGGGCCGATGAAAGCAAATATAGGAAAGCGGATCCAGAAACCTTTCACAAAATAGGCACAGCAAACAGCACACTCAACTATTTTACCCTTGAGCCAAACTAGAGCCAAAACATACGTACAACACAGTGGTTGTGTGACAATTATGTGGAGGTGTAAATTTCAACACCCCTCCTTCAACGCAGGTGCTAGCTTCGCTACACCTTTGTTGATTCTAACTTCTTTGCTCCAACGGCTTTCCCTAGACGATACTCCTGACACATGTTTTTCATGTGTCTCTCGCAAGTTTCGCGTCCTATGGGTTTCGTACATAGATCGGCTAGATTGTTCTTTGTACCGATCGGGCAGATCCGCAGGTGGTTCTCAGCCACACGTTCCTGGATCCATAGATAACGGGTCTGGACGTGTCTTAGCTTTCCGAGACCTCGCCTGCTCGCTGTACCGCGTGCAGCGCTACTGTCGCTGTAGATCTCTAATGCCCTTTCGGTTCCCCAATCTTGCATGAGCGCTTTGATGCTCAAACCAATTGCGGATGCTCGTACGAGTGCATAAAACTCGCTTTCTCCCGAGCTCAGAGCAATGGTCGATTGGAGATTCGATCCATGTTTGATGCAATGTTGTCCCATCATGACAACAAATCCTGTTGTGCTTTTCCTCGTCAACAAACAACCCGCATGATCGCTGTCAGTGTAGACTTTAATCACCTTGGGTGTCCTCTGAGGTTCGTAGGTGCACACGACCCTTGGTTTTCCGACCAGGTATCTACCTAATCGTTTCAAGTCCTTGACGTCTGCATCGTTTGGTGCTTTCATCTTTCTCGTCAGTGATTTCACTGTTTCTGCTATGTCTGCACGGTCTTGTGCTAGGAACTGTGCTCTCATCACTAGACTTCTGTATAGTGTGGTCTGTTCTGCTGTCACCGGTGGAAGACCTACCGATGCCAGCACTTCACTGCTCTTTTTCTTCTCCGACGTTGTCACCACACTTTTTGCATTTTCCAAGTTCAATTGTCTGATGATCATTTCTGCGTGTCTTGGATCAGCTTCGTATGTCACTTTTCCTGTTTCGTGGTCGTAGGTCACAATTCGGTTCAAGACTGTCAGATGTGATCCTCCACCTTTTCCGATGAGTCCGTCACATCTGAACTCATATCTCTCTTGCAAAACCTTTTGCATGTATTCTTGTCCTGCCTTGTCACTCAGGACTAAAAAGTCGTCTCCATGTACTAGCAGCTTGATGTTCTTCTCCTTGTGCCAAAACACTGATGTCCAAGCTTTTCCACATTCGAAATTGTGTTTCTTCAACAACTCGCTGTAGTCTGACTGCCAGACATGGCTGGCGTCTTGCGTGCCATACATGGTGCGCTGCAGTAGTGCGCACATTCCTTCTTCCTCGTCACCTTGTGGTAGTGTGACGTATACCGTTCTTTGTGCCTTTCCATAGAAATGCGCACGTGATATGTCGTAGAGTGCCAGCTGCTCGTTACTGCCACTTGTGGCTAACATCGAGCATAGTAGCTTCACCGCCTCCAATGGCGGCATGTTCGAAAACAGCTGGTGTCCTGGGAGTGAACCATGTTTCTTCTTCACTTCCCGGACCACTAAGCGTGAACGGTAGTTCTTCTTCGTTGAATCGCCTTTGTTGCGATCAATCCATTTCAACGTGATGGGTGCTTTTCCTGTAACTGCCCAACATTCGCTTATTGGTCGCTTGACGTAGACTTCCTGTTTCTTCACCCAAGCAAGTTCTTCTTGTCTCGCTTTCAGTACCTCCTCCGTTTCCAACTGAACTCCTGTGATCTCATCGAAGAAGATCTGTTCGTCGCCTTTGTTTTCAAACTTCGGTACGTACTCATCTTCGTAGTCCTCAAGATGTGGATCGTCATCCGGACTTGGTCCTGCATCTAATGCATTCACTTCTCGGTATTCACCATCTGCTTTCATTTGTTGCTTGATGGCCTTTAGTATTCCTTTCACCAGTTCTGGTGGGTATACCCGTGCCATTTTGGCACGTCCATTAACGAGATGAACATGTCTATGCCATTCTCCAGTTCCTTTATCGTTCGAGCAAACGCCCGACAGAATCTTAGCCAACTCCGGGCTATTTGTAACCCATCTGGTGTTTTTCCTGACATAAGATTCACCACTGGCGTCTCTAGCCATCATTTTCCATCTGCACATTGGTCCCTCAATTGTGAATGTCCCGGGTAGGTTCTGAACTTCCTTGACACATTCTTCATTCCAACTGGCTGCTGGTTTTGGATGTTCGTGTAGGAAGTATCTACCCCTCCTTGACTGTTGCTTGTAGTACTCGCATGCTTGTTTTAGCATCCTTCTGCCTTCTTCCAGCCTTTGTTGTCGAACAGCTGGATCAACTCTCCCTGTGTTTAGAGCTTGAAGCGGTGAGAACGCTTCACACGGCGGACTTCCAGTTACCAGGTACGGATCCTCCTCTTCCAAGATCCTTTCCAGACTCTTCACATGATTTGGATTCAACAAGTTCCATCCAGTCTCCAAATCAACTGCGTATCCTGGCAATAGTCCATAGTTCCTGCACTTCTCTGTCAATCTGGGTGGTGAAAAGATTTCACTCACATCATGTGCTCCAAGAGATTTCAAATCTTGCAATGAAACTTCCCAATCTTCGTGGGGTTCAATGCTAAAGTGAAACAACGACTGGACATCTCGAACGTGACTTGGCGATGTAACTGGTGACCAAAATTGATCATGACTCATGTCTGCACCTGGGGCTGCGGATCCTGAAGCAGTCCCACTGGCTGAAACAGGCGGAGCAACCGCTTGTCCCTCGGAAGTTCCACTGGTTGAAACAACCAACGGCCCCTCCTGCTCCTGAGCATCGTAGTACAGATCATCGATGTTGTCTGGTATCCGTTTTCCTGACCTCAAGGTATCTGACCTTGTTCTCTTCTCACCTTCAACTCTTCCTCCGTCTGATCTTGTCCTTTTCGGTGATGCTGGTTGTTCAGGTTCTTCAGGTTGTCCAAGTGCTACTGATGATCTCACTTCACCTTCAGTGGGATCCGGCATTCCTGTGATCACTTGCTTTGCCTTTTTCTTTTCGGTACCTTCCTCTTTCCTTTTCTCGACGTCTGCTAGACGTTTCCTTCCTTCTTCCGTTTGTAGCAACCTCTGTTCTAACCTGTATCTGCATGTTGCATTGTGTGCAACTGCTGGCAATCCAACCATGATTGCCTCACAACCTCTGCAACCTGGTGTGTAGTCCATTGTACCGTCTTCCTTTTCCAAGTCCTTCTTTCGGACGTACAGATTCCTGGGACCTCCATCCCGTACACTCGGGGTCAATTTCTGTGTTGTCTCAGGCAACGTGATGTGTAACCTGTGTTCCACATCTTCGGCACTCCTTGGGCGAAGCGCCCAGGGCGTACCTTTCAATTCTTTGAGTTCCGTTCGGTCCCATCTCTCCGATTCTGGTTTCCTGTGGACGGTATTGCCTCTAATCACACCTTGACTTGTCATCACCAACACATCGGCGTTCCTGCCGTGCGTTCCAACGTAGTGGCCACTCATGACCCTACTTGCTAGATCTCCTTTCTTTCTTTCGGATTCACCTTCCTTGGAAACCCTGTAGGAATCCAACGGTCTAAAATAGACCTTTTCGCCAAACGTCACCATAGGTCTGTTCCATTTTCTTCCAGTCAATCTTTGGTATGGGGCTTTCCCATCATCTTGAATACTGAATCTACTCAGGCAAAATGCCGCATGTCTACTTAGCCATGTGAGTAATGGATGCGTATCTTCCAACTTTCCAAAGTGTTCCTCAAGCTCACTCAAAAGTGCTCTTGACTGTCGCTTCTCGTCCCTGATCGCGACTTCGACTGCACCATTGGCACTGTGGTCCCCAGTAGGTGCTTCTTGCAGGATTATCTCAATTCCTGCTGCTTTGGATTTCACTTCTCGTTTCAGAGCGACGATTGCTGGTTCTCCGTCACTCTTCAGAATCAACCTGTTGTACCCTGTTTCATTCAAACAAGCCAACATGAAGTTGACTGAAAACAGGTCTGGTCCTTTCGTGGGTATTGTAGTCGCCCACGTCATCTTTGACTTGCTGTCTTTCACCTGCAAGTTCGTTGATTCTCCATCCTTCTCACCATAGTAGAAATAGTCTATTGATACGACTGGGATTTCACTGTCCTCATCCCGTGAAACTGAGCTGTGCTTTGCGTACGTTGCACGAGCTCTCATGCAATGGCCACACCACGATCTGTGTACTGCGTGGGCTGTGGCAAGATGTTCCTCTAATTCCTGGGCTGTTGGATCGCTGATTTTTCTTGCGACCTTTGGCCTCTGTACCTCGACAGCTTCTGCCGGGTCCTCTGCTGAAGCAGCAGGGGCCCCAGCTTCCGCTGGCGATTCTTCCATTCTCTCTTCTTCTAACGGACTTACGGATAACCCTGCCGTCAGTTTCCCGACTTCCTTTCCAACTTCTGCTTTGTGGTGTCTTCGTCAACCCAGTAGTCAAACACGTAGACACCCTTTTCAATTCGCAACTTGGTGGATTTCTCACCTTCTTCTTTCAACACTTGGTCTACAAACTTTTGGATTCTCTTTGCTGCATTCGACCCAGCTGGAACTATGTTACCACCCTGGTTGTCCAATATTACCATATTCCTCTTACACACTTCCGACCCACTAGCCAAGATGCGGTGCACATCGGTCACCCTCGCATTCAAGCTCTTGTCCGTGTAGTTGGCGTCACTGCCATACAACTGTACTTGGCCATGGTCAGAAAGTAGTTCACCTGAGGCTGTTTTGTAGCGGGTGGACTGCTTTTCACCGAATGCGTACTTTCCAA